ATTCACCAAATTAGTAAGGATCGTATGTTTCCGCGCAATGGATCGTATGTATTCCGTAAAATTCATATGTTTCTAGTAATGGATCGTATGTTTTCCATAAAACTCGTATGTTTCCAATAGTGGATCATATATATTCCGTAAAATTCGTATGAATTCCGTAAACTTCGTATTTTTGAAGACGCTCATGGAAGCTTCGCAATCGTGTCAATCGCCCGCCTCGGGCATCTCTTTTTGCAAAACTTATCTTTGCAAAAATAAAACATCAAGATGCAAATAGTCTGACAGGTCTGGTTTGTGCTGACTTTTCCGAGGTGCAGGGGCATTGAAGTTTGGAACGTACAATGTATCAAGAGAACCGTGAATATTTACTCTAAACGTCACTGACCATACCTTAATTTAAATTCTCTAACTGCTAATCATCTAAGTCGAACTAATTCTTACATCTTAAAACATAATATTTTATCTACAATGATGCTCTCTGCTTATCATTGTACGTCTGTGTACTTTAGATCTAGAGTTAATTACCCTCCATGAAAATGGGGGTATTGTTTTTACTCCGTTTCATGTTTGGTCTGATATCTGAAGATCGGTGAGAAGGAACTGTACGATATTTGGCAGATTGATGGATGGGGCCTTGGAGATTGTGTAGGTTGACTTTGAGCCCCTGGTGATTGACCTTGGTACTGCAGTTTAATTTTTTTATTCTGTTGTTTGCGCGTTATGTACTGTTTGTGCGATATTAAGGTAGCATGTAGTTGTTATTACCATGGTTTAGTGCTTTAAATTTGGGCTTCCTAGCTGTTTGCGTTTGATATTTACAATATGTTTAAAGTTGGTCTTTTTGTGTTGAATGTTTGGAAAATCTGGTGGGTCGTTTGGTATAATATTTGGTATGTGGGTAGTTGTTGAGTCTCTTTGCGTTTTAGAGTGCATTAGCAGGTTGTCGTATATTTTTATTGCTTAATTTAAAAGGATTTTCATTTTTTCACCCCTACTTCATAATAGGATGGTCTGTTTAACCCAAAAGTTGGGACAGATCTAGAGTGTTTTTGTTTATATACCTCCAGCTGGCAGGTCAGGCTGAGACAGCCCAATCTTATTTTTACTCCTAGACAGAGTCTGCAGGAAATATAGTCCGGTTGAATGGGGTGCTTGAGAGGTCATTGACCTCACCTCTTCACTATGGTTGGTTGGCTGGTTTTATTATAGGTCTGTTAGTGCTGTTAATGATAGCAGGTTGTCGTATATTTGTATTGCTTTATTTTAAAGGATTTTTACATTATCACCCCTATTTTATGGTAGTGTGGTCTGTGTTTAATCCTAGTTGAGACACAGGCTATGTATTTTTATCCCTGTTTGACAGGCTATATATTTCTTTGGTCTGGTTTTTTTTTATTTCATTGACCTGCCGGCCTTGCTAATGGTGTGGTTTGTTTGTGTTGTTATTGACAGGTCAATGACCTCACTTTTGCAGGATTGATCATAAAGACCATTGTGTCAACTTTTATCATCTTCTGAGAATCATTTGGGCATACAGGACCAACAGAAAACAACTCCCACCTTCTTCATTGCCATATAACGTACAAATAAATTTAAACCCAGCTGTCATGTTTTAACCATTCCTGATCTTCTCCTGAACATACCTATAACAATGAACACATCCGATAACATAAAACAGAACCCTAACAACACCAACCTCCTTCATGGAGGGAAGATGTCTACGACTTCTACTTGTTACCTTCATAATTTACTTAGATGTAACATATTGATAATCTAGAAACAAATAGCCTCTGATTCAAGGAAAGACACTCATAAACGAAATGAACGTGCAGGCTAGGTTGAGCTGTTGTTAAAACCTGCAGATATTAGTTAAAATACAGAAACTGTTTCTATATTTTTTCTTTCTCACTTACAAAGGTCTCAAAAACATACATGGAAAACTGAAACAGTTCATACATCAGCACGTGCGCACAATGATCTGTAGAGAATGTCGTTTTTCGACATGCTAGGACCTGCTATAAGGACATGAAAGTTATTTGCTATGTGCTTTTAAAGTTTTTTTTTATCTTCGATGATTTCAACCTTTTGTTTAGCATATTAGACCATGAAAGAAGACTTTTCATTTTTAGTTCCCCAGAAACAGGAACACTATCCTTGCAGGACCGAACATGTTTCATTTAGAAACAAGCATTGTCTAATTACTGGACAACACATAACACGTAAATTGTGCGTTTAGATCATGCAAATCGATCAGAAATGATGTCACAGTTAAAGACAAATTATGACCGTTTCGTGTAGTTGGAAGAAAACCATGCAAAGTTGTCCAAAATGATACAAACATTAGAACGGTTCAATGGGACTCTGCATGGGGGAATGAGGATACTTTAAAAAACTTTTAACCAGTAATTTATGGATGAATTGTTATAACTATATCAAGGTATAGTCAATAATGAAAATACTTTTTTTACTTTAATTGGTTTACATTATTTTGTAAAGCGATTGTAACTGGTCTGAGATTTTTTATTTGTTAAAAATCTACGGCTGAGGTTTTTATTGTATGACATTTGCAGTTTCCAAAGCTTATTAGCTTAGTAGGATCATATGTTCTTTTATATGTAATTCATGTAATTCAATAATGGAAGCCTGAGTATGACTATTAGTATTTTTGACTGACCCCTATTTTCAGTGACTTTCAGTTGAATTTGCCCGTTTTCATTTAGCTTAAACGCCTCACATTCTTCGTCCTGTTGCTAGATTGTCCATGTGGAGTACTTGTATCTACTTGTATCTACACTATCCGTGCAGGACTAAATACAAATATTAGAACGGTTCAATGGGACTCTGCATTGGGGGATGAGGATACCGTGTGGCTTGTGTATATTGTAGCTAGTTTCACACATGGTATTCTGATAACCCCCATGCAGATCCGTTTATCACAAGTGAATGCACAAAATCGATTCTGGATGGTACTTACTAATGGACATTAGAATTAAAATGTGAGAAATTGTGTAAAGTCAGTTGAATTGCGTTTTAAGTATCCTAAAATCCCCCATGTGGAGCCCCCAACCAACATTTCCAATTATGTTTAGCATTTTTCAACAGTTAATTGTTCACATACAGCTGCACAAGAAATGTCCATAATTTACCCCGTAAAGAGGCGTTATTACATAGTATGAGACCCGAACCCCCATACAGACGGCTCGTTTGATGTGTGGCCCAATTATACGATGCGTGTTTTTAAATTAGTAGATGATGCTCTTTCCAGCAAAGCTTAAACCATTTTTTTTTCAAAATTGCCGCGTGTGGGAGAAAAAGCTACCTAAAAATACTAAAATTTAGAGAGATGAAAATTCTGATTTCATTGGTTCTGGTAACCCCCTGGTATACCCTTTTAATTTCAATGTTGCATCTTCAACTTTTGTTTTGTAAAATTAGGAGATCCATGCTATGTAACAAAAGAAAACCCATGTTCATATCATTATCAAAATTACCGTGGTTTCCGTTATAATTTCAGTAATTTTCAGACATAAATTGTTTGATTTTTGAGGGTTCCGGAGGGGGGGGGGCAGAACTCTACAACAACAAAAATGGCTGGAGACTTTTAACTATATGTTAAACTGTTAATAGTTCCTCATACCTGTCACACATACAAATTATGAGTCCCATCTTTCTACCTCTACCTGGTTTTCTCATACAATGACTCTTAAACAATGAATTTTGAACGTTTAATCAAACCACTGCATTGACAGATGGACAAACTGAAAATGACTTTCCTCAACTGTTGGGGGCAAAATATAAGCATATTTGAATTGATTCAGAACCAGTATCTTTTTTGTTTTTTGCAAATCAGAAAGAAATGAAGAGGCGAATCCGAGAACCAACAAATTAAATTGGTGTTGCCTTATGGAAAAATCAAGTGTGGCCCAGAGGTGAATGGGTCGTCCCGCATCCAGAAAAATTTGGTTTCATGAAAATCGGTAGACGTTTAGCGATATCGCATTTTTAGGCGAAAAATGCTCTTTTGGTCTGACTTGGGTAAATTATGCTTTAAGGGAAAATCAAGTATGGACCAGATGTCGGTGAATCGTCACGCATACAAAAAGTTAGTTTCGTGAAAATCGGTTGACGTTTAGCGATATCGCATTTTTTAGGCGAAAATACTCTTTTTGGTACTCAAGTGGATTGTCTGCACAACGAACGCATCGTCTGCGCAACCAATTTATACATTTTCTTATCGTTGGATCGGCTATTTACGACAGCGTACCAATAGGGAAATCTTATCGCCGTGACTTAATTTCTACCACGCCTTCACTCTGGACTAGACAATGCAACAAGTTCCATTCTTCCCCGATACAAACAACAACACGGAGAAAAATCACATCAAGTGTATTCCGAAGTACTAAAAGTCTGAATGTGTTCTTTAATCGAACAAGAACAAAGAGGCTGTGCCAGTTGCCTTCTGGGACAAATTGTCGCAAGTGACGCTCCTTAGAACTATGGATTGGTTCTTCTTCCATCAAATGCTCCAACCAAAACATGTATTAAACAGACCTCACAGTAGTCAAACTTTTCGGGCCTTACACCAGTGTGTTATGTGCTATAGAATGAGATAATTTTTTTTACTGTAGGTACAGTTTTGGGACAGTTCATTCACATCTGGACAGCATAAGGTTTGTAGCAATTCACAAGCAGAAAACACTTGCCGATTGAGTTACAGAAGCTGATCACTTTATTGCATCACAATTTCTTTTAAAGCATGATTCACAAAGTCCACATTTTTATGTCAGATGCACATATAGACCTAACATTACTGTCTTCTTATATCAATAGAACACTCATGCGAAAAAAGTCTCTGATTTGTGTTCTGTCAGCTGCATATCATTACCTCAATGTTCCCACAGCCTGTATCATTATCATCATCAGTCTACATCATAACACACAATGTACTCCACCTGTCATACAAGTGAGGAGGCAGTACTTTCAGAAAGGTGTGCTTGTTGCTACGTCATGGGAAGAAAATGAAAAAAAAATGCATTCAATTGTCTGTGTTGACAGACTGTACAGCCACTGTTTTCTGTACTGCCACAGTATTTATCCAGCAAGGACAATTTCCGGTTTATGTTGATTCATCAACTTTGAAGGTTTTATATTTACCTTGTACATCACGATTCTCTAAAGTCTAAACATTGACAGGATGGGTTCATATACTGACCCTGGTTTACACTTCATGTACATGAGATCAGTGGAAAACAGAAATGCCTTCAGTGAATTACAGCCATAGTTACATGTGCTACTAAACCTCGTTATTTGCCATTGGTGCACTGCTGCTGCTGCATTTTATCACACACAGTCCTATCAGAATTGATGAATGAATTGTGGCTGGCCTTCCTGATCCTTAAATTGACTTTACTTTCTGTTTCTCTCTGCTTACAATATCTCCAGTCATACAACTCTCCTTGACATGGAAAGTAACATTGCCATTGTCAAATTTAAAGCCAGCTCACTTTCATATAATGCTAGTGTAAAAAAAACAAGACGTCCCTTCTATAATTTACCTCCACATCGTGATACAATCTTTAAAAACTTCGTATTAATAGAATTAATATTGTCTCACCCATAAAAGTGTCATAAACATACAAAAAAACTCATATTTGTCAATTAGAGTGCTTACATAAATGAAGTATAAATTAGATTTTCACAAAATATGTACATGACAAAAATGCAACAAGATTTGCACTATATTATTATATATCAAAAATATTTACCCAATCATGGATAACACAATCCAAATGAGTTATAATTCAATTTCCACAAATTCTAGTAACTTATATGCCACAGATTTTGTCCCAGAGAATAGAACCCCTCACCCCACAGACACTATTATATGTATTACGTACTACTTCATGCCACATCAGTTTCTGCTGTATATTTACTTGTGCTCAAAAGTCTATGAATAATTACATAAAAGTATTTGCTGGTGTGTAAAATGAAGGGTTTATGATTGATCAAAGTACTGAACCTATTATATGATATATGTTAACACGTAACCACATATAACAGAAATTGCCCCCCCCCCAATTATTTCTATTGAGTATAGTTACAGAAAATGCAACAGAAACTGATTGTGTTCTTTATCAATACAATGTGATCATTGATGGATTAGCTACCAGTAATAGTAACATGGAAAATTCCATAAATTGCATAAAACAGTAACATGTCAAACATCAACATCAGCATCAATGGTCGAAGTGCAGGCACTACATTGTAATAAACCTGACACAAAAAGTTTGAAAACTTTATTTGAGTAAAAAAGGCCAAATTTTAGTGTGTTCACAATCTTAAGACAAAGGGTATATACAATTAAAAACTACATACTAAAGGGTAGCGAACAAAAAATAATAATATGATGCCATTGAAAAAGTAACAATGGAAAGATGACTGACATAAAATTTTGAAAAGTTTTTGTGTTAGGTTTATATCGCCAGATCCGTAGCTGGAATCTGGAAATTGCAGAAAGTATGACACTGATCGACATGCCAAAATAGCTAGTACTTCTTCTCTGTCTACTTGTAAAAACATGTCCAACTTTGCAATTAACACATCATCATGCAAACTTTCAGTCCAAAAAACAGACATTCCCATGTTTGCAAAAACAGGGAATACATTGTACATGTGCGTACATAAACATTTCATACAATTTCCAGCTGCTAGGCTACTGGACTGCCCATATCATAGATAACCTGAGCAAGAACTGGACCAAGGACATTGTCACCACCTATGGCTGAACATCTGTCATGGCAGGTGGTGCATCAGAACATCATCTCACCACTGGTGGAGGAGCCGGGGGACTCCACATACTGTCCGCGGCGACCCTGAAAGTACTTGGACTGTTTGTCAAGAGCAGTGGACTGCAGAGGAAAACATACAATTAACTATTAAGGCCTGATTCTTCATCACGCATATGTATAATCCTAAGTAAGATATAGTCAAACTTGTCCAAGTGACCACCTCTATAAGCCGGACCTCTGGCCATGACATTGACACAATTTTTTCCCATAGCATTAGTCCCTCTGCAGTCCCAACGTGGCACTGGTTGGGACTGCACATGGCTGAATATCATCTTATGATCATTTTCAAGCATGTGGTGGAAAATATTTTTTGATTGTAACTATTGAGAAACCTGGATGGAATTGGCCAGTTGTCATCCAGGGCTGTAGCCAGCTCAAACTTTTTTTCCGTCAGCCCAGGTTCATGATTGGGCCTGGGGAGAGAGTGCTCACAACCTTCATTTTGTGTATTTCTTCACCTGAGGGACCCTAAGTATAGCTCCAACCTAGGGGGGTCTGGGGGCAATTTGTTTTTATTTTCAAGTCTTTAAAAATGCAATTTCCCAAATTTGGCGCAAATCATGGGGTTGAAAGTTGTTGTTGTTGGTCCTAAATGCTGCTGTAAACATAACCTTGTTGTCAAAGGTAATAAAATAACTGCACAGTAATTGTAATCAGACAGACCAGTTCAACTGATATCAAAGTACATGTAAGACTTACGTACAGCCAACAAACTGATCCCTGCAGACTTCAGGTTGGACTTGGGTTTCATCATGAAATGTTTGCTGAGTTTACGGGAAACTGTCAGCTGCATGTCTGTGTCTAACGCTGTATCATCCTGGACAGGAAAACAAAACATAATGTGGTCTTCTTCAAGCCATAACGTTATCAGTTACGTACTGAACAATATTGTAAAATGTACAATGTATGTGTTCAATCATGGAATCAAAACACCCCGTTTTATTTGTCTGAAGAGAGTCAGAATTAATTTTCAAAAAAGTAGATTTTGCTGCAGCACTCACGGCCACCCAGGGGTGTTCCAAGACTTCTGCTGCAGAACAGCGTTCCCCTGCCTCCACCTGCAGCATGCTGGATATCAGCTCCTGCACACACAAACATCCAGAGTAAGTTACAACCTTAGGCCACACCAATTTAATTTCTTGGTTAACGGATTCGCCGCTTCATTTTTCTGATTTGCAAATAAAAATAAAAATTCAGAATCAACCGCAAAATGCTCATATTTTGCCCTGAACAGTTGAAAACAGTCCTTTTCATACTTCTTGTTAAAGTCATTCCATCTTTCAATGCAGTGGTATCATCAAAAGTTTAAAATTCATTAACAAAATTTTGAACCAGCCTGGTGTGTTGACTTCATGGCTCCTATCGTACCATTTTGGGCCATAATACGATGCCTAGGCCTGTTTTTATTTTTATTTATTTTTCGCCCGCCCGCTCCATTATATTTCTAGAAAAATCCGTTAACCAAGAAATTAAATTGGTGTGGCCTTATCATGTTGTCTATGCCTTATGTAAACTATGCTGTGTTGTAAGTGAATGTTAAACTGTATGTCATACCTGGGCTGCAATAACATTCGATGCGGGTGTTCTGGCCCATGTGATAACTAGTGTTACAGCCAAGAGTTCTATTTGGCTATCACACGGGCTTCCAAATGTGCCATTATACATAATTCAAACGGGTTTTGCCTGAGCCACGTGTGCCACTTTCGAAAATTTGTTTTGCCGAGGTGGGTGATTGGGAAGCTTCTCCAAAAGTGCACTTTTGTAAGGCCATACAAACTTACTTTCTCAGTCATCATGATTAAAAACAATTTCAGGCTACTACATATGATATATGTAACGGGGTTGCCCTAATTCCAACCCATCCCTAATACCGAACTAGTTTGAAAAATCCTTGTTGCGGCGTTATGCATGGGAGCACGTATCTGAAAATAACCACGTGAATGGACAATGTTTTTGTGTTGATATCGGTAATCTCACAAAGTTTGTTTTAGTTTGTACACTCCGACAACAGACGAGTGAAAAATCTGTGTGAATTCAACGCTTGTTCGGGGGTTGACGAGCGTGTCAAAAATGCAGGTTTTGCTTTTCAAACAGCCGCTTTGGAGCAAGTCGCGAAACCGTAAAAAGAGGACTTGTTTGGGACAGAAACAGTTGTAGATTGTTTTAGCCATAATTTGTGTATTATAATTTCTAAACTCTCTTCTCAGATCGACCTGTGTTAAACACTGGGTCGGAATTAGGGCACCCCTGTTGCGATAGAACGTTCCACCGGCAAAATGACAAAAAACTGCCGTGCGTTTCGCGAACCATTACGCTTGGGTGCAAGGCGCTACACTGAAGTGAAATACACAGCTGTGCAGCTTTAATCGTTGTGATCTTTATCTGCCAATATTATAGCTCATGTTGCGTGGGTTTTTGGTCAGATAAACTATTACCAAAGGTCTGTGCGTTTGCATGGAACATAGGTCGGAATTAGGGCACCCCCCGTTAGTAGCCTTTGATATTCACATGTCTTTTACCTCTTTTTTTCTGTGTCACGAGGTCTTTAAAATACTTCTAAAGTGGTCTCTATAATGATTTACACCCAAATATTATTTTATTTATCAAATTTATAACAAAACCAAAGTTGCACTGACCTTGGCTGACTCAGAGATACCGTCCCAAAAGGGCGAGGGGAAGCTGACATCTCCAGACAGGATCTGGTCAAACAGCTCTTCTTGATCGTTGGTGTCACTTTACAAAAAGAATGTACAATATCTGTTGTAAATTATTCATATCTAAACAACACGCATGCACAGACTCTCTTGGTATAAGATCTACCAGCTGTCACCAAAAAAGTCCACTATCTTAAAAGCTGGCTGGTCACTGTATCAGACAGTCTGAAATTCCTGCATTCCATCTACTCTGGGAGCCCACAGAAAAGAGGTTAGGGGAAAACTCAGAGCCACCTACTCGAACGCTTTAAGACAATCTACATAGTGACACAAACCTGCAAGATATCGATACCAAAGAGGGCCATGGAGAGAATAAAGTGCTGTGGAGGAGTCTCTCTGGATTGGCTCGAGTTCAGGAGCTCAAACTAAGTACTCTCCAAGAAGAGGTTTGGGCTTTGGCTTATTACCTCCATGAAAAATGGAAGTATTGTGTTTGGTGTGTGTGTGTGTGTGTCTGTCTGTCTGTGTGTGTGTGTGTGTGTCTGTGTTTGTGTTTCTGCACATGTGTAGTCAGCATAACTTCATAATGCCCTTATGGATTGTGATCATATTTGGTATGCTGATAATTCATAGGAAGACAAAGGTCAAAAGGCAAAATATGGGCCTCCTGGTGGATGACCTTGGTACTGCAGCAGAACTTCCGTTTTTTTGTATCTTTTGTCCTGAACATGCTATAGTCTTGACTTTTTGGTGACAGATAGTTTTTCCCGTCAGGAATAAGTGGTGTGGGTTTGGTCCCCCTAGCAGCTTGTTCTAGAACTGCAGGGGACTTTCTGGCAAAATCTTCTAAAGCCAATAAGTCCCCATAGCAACAACAAATTTTCATTTTTGGTGTGAGAGTTGTACATAATTAAATGGAAGTTATGCAAATGAGGACTTAATTTGCATAATTAAGGAGAAAATTCTATAATTGCAGTGTTTTATATCATAATAATAGTTCTTTTATACAATGTAATCTATTCAATCTGTAGCAGGCGGAACATCAACAAATACCAATTATGCAAATGACCTAATTTGCAAAATTAATGTGAAAATTCTGTGACTCCTTATTGGTGAATGATGGGAATTTTATACCTCGTGACATGTGTAAGTTACTTAAAGGTTAGCACTACTATGCATATATTATGTTAATGTAGAGATTATTTGCATAATTAATGAGGACATGTTGAAATGAAGTATGACAAAGCAAGCCCATATTCCATGGAGGTATGAGATCTCGGAACTCTTGTTTTTGGCATGTTTTTAGGCTTTCCTTTTTTCACTGGAATTTTTTTTACGCCAACCCAGCCAACCCAGTCTCTGCCGGTGTTCTATGCAGGACTGCAGAAATGTCCCTGTCAATCTCCAGCTGGTTGCCATGGTATTTTGAAAGCTGACACCGGAAGTGGGCGGGTGCTAAAACTACGAAGGCCCATAGGGACAAAAAGCTCAAACCGACAATACAAACATGTACATATAGGTTGAAACAAAAAAGCAAGGTAAATAATCATTGATGTAAAATTCAACTTAACAATTATTTATTATTATCTGGATTCTGGAAGACTATTTATCATTTAAGATAAGTTCTAGAACAGAAACATTACTGAGATAGGGCAAACCTAAGTATTAAGGTCTCGGACCGGAGTTTTTTTCACGATTTTGGATCCGGCGGACACCCTCAGACCGAAGGGCTATAACTCCGCCAAAAAAAGTACGCCGGGAAATCTCATTACATCAGTCAACGGAGGTTTCCAGCCGGCTTCCGATACAATTTTGGTTATTGTCCGTCGACTCTATAATTTGGGTAGAAACTGTAGTTAAACGTAAATTTTGGATACGAAAAATGTAGTTTTTTTGCAGTTTTTTCAACGGACCTGCTTGGAAAAAACGAATTT